ATTGCCGAGCTCTCTTACATCTTTTGTCGTCGCACCGGATCTTCACCCTCGCCGGCAAGTAAAGAGGTCTTACTCCAACTCTTTATGTGTTGCAAGAAAAGGAACCAATCTCGTATTGAGCCAACCGGAACCGTTTCTTTACAGATGGAGGGAGATGTTATTGCGACAGCGACGGAGACCGAGGAGGATGTGGCGGCGGCGGACAAGTGGCGAGTGTCGAGGCTTCTGTTTACAATAGAGGAAGAGGATTTGGAAATGGAAGATGATGATGTGGTCTCGGCGGAGGATAACGACGGCGAACTCCGGGTTGATATTCCGGCGGAATATTCAGGCGAACCAACTCCGTTCTTGACGCCGTGTGATTCTCCTCCGTACTTTACTCCTTCGCCATCTCCTGGTCGGGATATGGATGACGTCATTGATGTGTATGAAGTCGTCAGCAACACTAGAAGCTGTTGTTTCAACTTCCAAAGTTCTCAAATGTCTTAATTTTTTTTTTTTGGTTGATTCCAACGGTTTTTTAGATATTAGGTGGAATGAAACAGCCTCGTAAATTATTTACGGGTTTTTGTCGTAATTATTTTGTTTTGTGTGTTTTGGTTTCAACTTTGTCGTCATTTTCTTCGGCAATTTGAATGTTCACCAAGACTTCGTTATGTATTATGTAACAAACAGTAGAGTTATGAGTAGTGTTTGAGTTGCGGAATAGTGTAATCTTTTGAAGATCCGATGATAAGTTTTACGTTCATCAACATTTTATTCGTATTAATAGCATCTCCAATGGTACACCAAATCCTACACCAAACCTATTTTTTGGTGTAAAACCCTCTCTAACCCAACACTATTTTCAACACCAAATTTGGTGTAAAATGGGTTTACACCATATTGGTGTTGAATTTTTTTTATTTATAAAAAGTTCTTTAAAATTTTAATCAACTTTAAAATTAATGAAAAACACTGACAAATTGTGATGATTAAATCCAAAATCTAATATGTTTGATAATAATTAAATAAAAACTTAATATATTTTGTTATTTTATATGTTACAATGTATTTGTTTTATATAATAAATGTTAAATTTAATTTATTTCATAATTTTTTAAACTTAAAAAAATAAATGGGGTTGATTTGTACATTTTAAAGAACTAGAAAAAAAAATCTATTAAGAATATTCTATTTTTGTGTAAAAATTAGTGTAAACCATTGGAGCAAAATCCAACACCCTTTTGGTGTTACCAAATAAAAGAGGTAGAGATGGTTCCATTTGGTTATTGTTTAAGTTTTTGTTGAAACCAAATTGTTTATAGAACTCGGATTTTCCTTGTGTTCAAAAAACTATTTCTTGAAATGTGAAGGAAAAGAAACTTTTGTGGTAATAACTAACTTTTGATTTTCTGATTTTCTTTTACGGGATTGGTTTATTAAAAAAGCCAAAGAAAAAGGGCATACAAAAAGTAAAGTTGTTTATAATGCGGTTTTGGATTGGCTTTTCATGCGATACACACAAAAAGCAATTTGTAATCCTAATTACATCACGCATGTTAAGTATTTACTTTAAGCATTGTCATAATTTTGATTATAGAGTTATGAATTTGAAATTTTGGATTGGATTCCAAAAAACAAAACAGAAACGTAAATTGAACCCAAACCAAATTATGATTTAGTCAAACCCTTAAACAACAAAGAAAAATTTCAAAAAATGCCATTTTTCAAGTATTATTTTACAAATTTTTTTTGTTTTTCATATTATTTATGTTTGGATTAACTATGTTCTATTAGGGTTTAGTTACGAGGGTTTGTGGGGGTTTAGGAGTCAAAACATTTTTTAGTGTTTAGAATTTTAAGATATATGGTTTAAAAATCTATAATTAGTAACATTTTTACAAATGAACACCCCTATGTGACATTTTTGCAAATATGCACATAAAAAATGATATTTTTGCAAATGTGCACATAAAAGTAACATTTTTGCAATTTTCCTTTAAACAAACACACAAATATTAAATGACATGCTTTGGTCTTTTGCAATTTTCTAAAATGTGGTTAGATAATTAGTGGAAAAAGACATATCTATTGCATGAATAATTATTTATCTACATCGCATAGAAAGCTAAGTCACCATATAACTAGATTGAAAACAAAAAAAAATTCAATTTCAGCAAGAACACATAATCCATATTAATGGATACCTCAAATATCTAAATCCAAACATGAAAATATAATAAAAATTTGCGATTGACTTAAGAAAAGTCAAAGTCACACTGCATAGGTTGAAACTTAAACCCACTAGTCGAATTAGAGTCACCAAGAGGAATCTTAAGATCATCACACTTAATCTTCGGTTTAAGCTTCCACGATTTAACCACCCAAAACTTAAACCAAACACGCATCATCAGTTTCGCATCGATCCGATAAACTCCAGATTTCTCATCTTCCTTCAGATCCGATCTCGCTCGGTCTCCTAACACCACCAGATTCTGTCCCTCGATTTTGGTTCCGATCACAGTCGTGTTCTTGTGTCCTTGATAAAACGGCGAAACGTCTACGGTTCCGAATCGCTGATCGCCGTAATAGCCACTGACTTTGATCTCGTCGTAGTAGATCCCGACTCGTTGATTCGGGTTACGGATTGTGAAATTGAGATCGAGATTGTAGTGGAGGTTGCTGTTGTTGTTCGGATCTAGGTTGAATCGGATCAGATTCGCGTCGGTGACGTAGAATTTGACGGCGTTTGGACGGAAGATTAGCCAGAGAACTAAGGCGGTTATACCGAGGATTACGGCTATGGCTATGAGGATGTTGCAGATCAGGCTTAAGATGCAGCAACCGCAGCAACGTAAACAGCTACCGAAGCAGCTGAAGAAGCAGCATCCGAGGTCCGGCGAGTCGTATTTCCGACGGGGCTTGGTCGGCGGAGGAACAGATGGCCCGTAGTACGCGCCGTTCAGGTGAGGTTGTTTGTCCCCCATGTGTTCGACGATTTGCCTCAGAGAGAATTAAACAGAGATTTTGATGAATACGAATGGTTTTTTTTGGTTAAACCTAAGAATACGAATGGTTTAGTGGAGAAGGAGAACATAGCAGAGAGAGATATATATATGCGAGTGTGATTAGAAGAGATAATTGTGTCTTTAATTCGAAAGAAGTTAATGTAACGCGTTTTTAAATTTAAGGAAACGAATTCAAATATGGTTAGTAAATATTTTATCTTTTGTCATTACTAAGAAAAAATTAATTAGTAGCCAATTCTGTAATCTTCATGTGGGTTATTGATAAGAAGACACTAACGTTGGTTTTATTAACTTGTTTTATAAATACAACCAAGACCGGTTAACTCTTAATCACCGGTTTAGTTTCGAAAAAAGTGCCGTTACGTTTTTGTTTGTTACAAGAAAGTAGAGTTTGAAGAAAGTGGTCAAAAGCTTTTTCAACAATCGATAAGCATTTCAAATTTATTCTTTATTTAAAAGTTTTTTTAAAAAAAAATTTTTGGTGTTGTTCCCATGAAACTGGGTTCAAATGGCTTTTTATTTTGGGTCTAATTCGAATTAGAATTATGCTAATGACCCACCCTAACAAACAACAATCAAGCCCAACATAAATAGATAAAGCCCAATAGTAGAAGAACATATCTTTTTTTTTTTGCTAAATATAGACGAACATATCTAAGAAACAAGAAGAGAACATACTCAATTCATATCTAATTAATATACAAGAAGAGATAATATATACTCGCATTTGAAAAACAATACTCAATTACATTTGTTTCTCTTTGATAAATTATATTTGGAGTTAGATCCATTATATATTTGGAATTTCCGATGTTGCAAATTATTTCAAAGTTAGGTGAAAAAAGGCCATTGATTAGAAAATTATGTGAGTTTGGCAGAGTCTTATGCAGACATTGTAGCTAGTGCCTGTGTGTGAACAGCCTACAACATACCACGTTCATAACTACCTTTTTCGGTTTTTCCTTATATATAAAAGAAAATTCAAGGTTAGGTTTCTCAACTTTATTCGAAAAAGAAAGTTGTGTACATATAATACTACCGTATCATGTGACTGGAATCTAAAGTAAGAAAAAACTAGTATCGAAGAAATTCATGAAAACTGGATTTGTATTTTCCTTTGAATGTAAAATTTATTCGAATTCCAAAAACAGATTTACAATGTTTTGTAACCGTGGATTTGTATATTCTCTTATCAAAATAGACATTCTTTTGTTAAAACAAGCATTTTAATAACACACCGTTTTGATTGTACTATATACCGCCTAAAGAACTTTGATGAGTTATTCCGTGAATGGTTTAGCGCGTAATGTTAGATTTCATATTATAATTTTACATTTGTAGGATTTTTATTATTGGTTTGGGCTTCCGAACTATCTTAATTTATCTTATAGAAAAAAAGTCGAAAAGGTTAGTAAGTTTCTATCAAGTAGGAAAAATTGAGTGGGTAATACTTGTCTAACTAATTGCATAGACTGATTTTTAACATTGGTTTACCTTACATTTACATAACTCCACCGCGAAGTAATGTTGGTGACTGACTTTTTTTCAAACTTTTTCTGATTACAACGTTTCTTAAATTATTTTTATTCAACTTTTAAATAACAAGTTACAAGGGACCATTATATTCCCCTTTCTTTGGTCATTTTAAAGGGACCATGCTTAAAATTAAATGAATGGAAAATAGACATAGCAAGAAATAAGTCTTCTCGAACGTCCCTAGCTTATTAATAGTATTAAATTAAAATTCTGAAAAGAATATAAGAAATTATTAGCTAAATTCTTGTAAGTTGTACTTGTCATTGTAACAGTACCAAATCCTGATTTTTTTTTTCATTGCAAGATCCAAGAATATTCACGATAACGTAATGTTAACTTTATTATAATGTTAAGAAGAATTTTAGAAGAATGTGCTTTTTAAATTAAAGTGCAAGAAAACCATATTCTAAGCAATATACATCAATAGACCAAAAAATCTATTAATCCATAAATGACCAAATAAATCCAATCCACATAATTTTTCTTTTTCAACTTTCTTATTTGTTGTGGAATATTGTACAAATATATAACAATGGATCTCGATTTAATATAATATAAGAAAAAGATGGAGATATATATGGACAATGACACCATAACACAACGTCCACAAAACATTAACGAGTCATAATCTATATAATTAAATTTTAATTTCTGTCACCGTCCAACTTTACCAGCTACAAAAAAAATCCATCAAAAGTCGATTTGACATGATCAGAAGCTGCATCTTAATCAGCAAGAAACAAATAAAATATTAGAAAATTCATAACTTTATGGAATTTTGAATTTAACTAGTGATAAAATATACATATTAAAATTCTTACAACTCGTTACAACAACATCACGAATCTGTAATATTTGCTATCGTATAAGCAAAATTTACAATTCAACATCACTTGTGATAATCAAGAAGACTATAAAAATATTTAACGGAGCCGTTAACTTACCTGATTTCATTCTCTCCGTCGCCGTTTTAGACACTAACACGACAGCCACTAGTGAACGTATACTTAACGGCGTTTTCTCCGACGACAACTCCGGCAGCTTTATTACCGAAGTTAATAAACGCCGGACATCGGACATAAAGATGATACTTTCCGGTAATAAAAGTCCCAACTTTCCACCTCACTCTACCGTCAGCTTTAATGATCAAATTAACGGCACCGTTATCTTGATCGTTGTCAAGACCAAGGGCGTTAAAAGGAGCCACCGGAACGGAGGTTCCGTAGACAAACGGAGACCATATGTTGACTTCTTTGTGACCTTGATACGTCGGAGGGATTGATGTTCGGAAAGTGATTTGTTGGTTCCGGTAAGTAGCGTAGACGTCAAGGCGGTCGTAGTAAACGCCGATCTTGTCGTTAGGGTTACGTGAAGAGAGAGTGATTTGGAAATTTGACGTGAGGAGGTTCGGTGGATTCCCGGAGACGTTAAAGGCGTAGACGGTGGCGTCTTGGAGGAGGAAACGTGGCTTTGAAGGTTGGAGAATTGCCCAAATGAGTAGGATTGTGAGGAAGATTATGAAGAGGATGAATATTATTGACCATATTATTCGCCGGTATAGATGCCGGCGAGAGTAGCCGTGAGACCCACAGTCTT